CTGAAAATCATTTTAAAAACCAGAAATCATTGAAGCCGAAAATAATTTTAAGAACAGAAAGTCATTTTTAGAAAGAAGTGCCAGAAATGGCCTCACAAACTCTCTTTATTTCAGAGTTTTACGTGGCTCCTGCAGGCTGCAGTGCTCAGACGGAGCTGTTGCTGAAAAAAAAATTAATTTTTCTTTTGTTTCATTAAAATTTAAAAACTAAAATTAATAAAAAATCCTCTTTTTTTTCCAACTTTCTATCGCAGGCCCGACGGGCACCAGAACAACCTGAGGAGCTCGGCCTACGAATCGCTGATGGAAATAGTGAAAAACAGTGCCAAGGACTGTTACCCTGCTGTCCAAAAAACCACCCTGGTGATCATGGAGAGGCTCCAGCAAGTGCTGCAGATGGAGGTGAGGCAAAATGAGGTTTAAAATCGAGAAAATTGCGTTTTAATTCGTCCAAATTTGGGTGGGGATGGTGGCAACGGGTGGGGTTTGAGGTCGCAGAGCGCTCGGGGTTTCTAAAGGTTTTCACAGCTTCTCTGCTCTTAAATCAGATAAAAACCAGATGATTTTTAATCAGAAAAAGCAGATGTTTGAAGTCCAAACTGAGGGTTTTATTCTTGTTTCAGTCTCACATCCAGAGCACCTCAGACAGAATTCAGTTCAACGATCTCCAGTCCCTGCTCTGCGCCACTCTCCAGGTAAATAAATCCCTCTCTATTGCCCTGTCTTTGGCAATAAAGGGATTTTTCAGCCCTTTTTGTGCCCCTGAGGCTCCAAGCTCAGGTCCTGAGGAGGAGATTTGGGTGGAAAAAGTGGATTTCACGTCCCAGCTGCCACGTGGGAGGTGCTGCAAGGTTCACAAGTCTCCGAGTCGTGCTCCAGTGACAAAATTTAGGGCAATTGGACTAAAAAAACGCTGCCAGGGATTTTATAAAACATTGTCTGTGCTGTCAGATTTTTTTTTGTTGTTGGCTGCAGCCTCAACAATCCCACAGACAAAAAAAAGAAAACAATTCCACCACGGCTTTGATTCCTTTTTCTGCTCCCTCCTGATCCAAATGGCTCCAATTGAAATGTTCTGGGAATTTAAACATCTGGAAATGAGCTCCCCCCACAAATTCCACTCAAAACAGGGCTTTTGCCCCAAAAATCAGCTCAGTGCAACCCGGGGGCTCTCCAGGTTGATTTGAGAAATCCTGAATTTTATCCTCAAAAGCTTTGTGGTTGTTTTCACTCTGTGGTTTCGATTCTATTCTTGGAATAATGGGAATAATCTGTCCTTAAAAGGGTTTTAATGGGGAATTTTCATCCTGGAATCTCACAGGGTGGGCACTGATTTCTTTCAGGGGAGTGTAGCCCAGGTGGAATTAAGCTGGAGTTCCCAAATTTTAATTAATTTCTGAATTTCCCAATATCTGAACCTGATTTTCTCACTCGGCTGCAGCAAATAATGTCCCTTCCCACCCAGACCACCCTGTAATTCCATAAATCAAACCTTAATAATTAAAACAGCCAAAGTCCACCTTTGTGGAGTGAAAAATTCAACTTGAAATCATTTTTTTCCTCTGGAGATTAAGGAATTGTTTTCTTTCCTTGGGAAAAATATGTTTTAACCGCTTCAAATTAATTTCAGGGCTTGAGCTGCAAAATTGGGGTTTGACCCCTTACGAGTTCAGCTGGGACAGACCAAAATAAGCATTTTATTGTTATTTATTTGTAATAAATGATTCGGGCTGCTCCCCCAAATTCCAGCCGAGCTGCCAGAACAGCCYATGCAGCAGGAAAGGTAAATCCAACCGGAAAATCGGCGCTTGGCAGCCACAAAAGCCGATTGTTTGGCAGCATCAGGGCTGCAGCAGCAGCTCCTGGGGGGTTGGGAACTTTGGGAATCTTTCCCTGGGATGTGATTTTTGTGATTTTTGCCCGTTTTYCCYKKTTTTTYCCCCAGAACGTGCTGCGGAAGGTGCAGCACCAGGACGCGCTGCAGATCTCGGACGTGGTGATGGCGTCGCTGCTCAGAATGTTCCAGAGCACGGCCGGCTCCGGGGGYGTGCAGGAGGATGCTCTGATGGCCGTCAGCACCCTGGTGGAAGGTGGGAATGGGGCTGGAATGGGCTTAGATCCCCAAATTTTGGGAAAAATGACCGTTGGTCGGTGGTGCAGAAGTGCCTGAAGTGGCTGAGGCTGGAGCGCCCTGGGGTGGGCAAAGGTGTCACTTCAATGTCCCTTTAAACCCCAAAAATCCCAGAATTCTAAAACCCAAAATTCTAAATCCCAATTCTAAAACCCAAAACCTTGTAGTGATGGAATTTTGTTCTGCCCACTTTGGAATTTTGTTCTGCCCACTTTGGAATTTTGTTCTGCCCCCTTTGGAATTTTGTTCTCCCACTTTGGAATTTTGTTCTGCCCCCTTTGGAATTCATCCAGCCCAGGAGCATCCGGATGAATTCCATTTCACCGCTGTTCAAAGTGGGGAATTGATTTTCCACTGGATTTGGGTGGCATTTAAAGGTTGGGGTTTTGATTTGAAATGCCATAAATTGGGATTTTTTTTATTTTTTTTTTTCTCACTGGAATATTTTTCCTGCCCAGTGCTTGGTGGAGAATTCCTGAAGTACATGGATGCCTTCAAACCTTTCCTGGGCATTGGGCTGAAAAACTACGCCGAGTACCAGGTAGGGATCAGGGATTTGTTCCTGATTTATCCCAATTTATCCAGGAAAACGGGGCTGGAATGAGCCAGGGCCAGCCTGGGTGAGCTCTGGGAGGATGGAAAATGTCCCTGCCCATCCTGTGGGTCACTTCCACCCAAACAATCCCGGGATTCTGAAAGCCAGACCACCTTGGAGCGTGGGATTTTTTCGGTTTTCTGAATTATTTCAGAATTTCTTCAAAATTTCATTCGTTCAAAATTTTTCCAACAAAAAATTTGTCCCACTTTTTTTTTACTCCTGATTTGAGGTGTTGAGGTCATTTATTTTGGTGTAATCCTGGAATGGTTAAGGTGGGAAAAATTGAGTCCAGCCCAAATTTTTCCCACAGTTTTTCTCCTGATTTGGGGATGTTGAGGTCATTTATTTTGGTGTAATTCTGGAATGTTTAAGGTGGGAAAGATTGAGTCCAGCCCAAATTTTTCCCACAATTTTTCTCCTGATTTGGGGGTGTTGAGGTTTTTTTTTTTTTTTTGTAATCCTGGAATGGTTAAGGTTGGAAAAATTGAATCCAACCAATTTTTTCCCACAATTTTTCTCCTGATTTGGGGGTGTTTAGGTTATTTTTTTTGTTTAATCCTGGAATGGTTAAGGTGGGAAAAATTGAGTCCAGCCCAATTTTTTCCCACAATTTTTCTCCTGATTTGGGGGTGTTTAGGTTATTTTTTTTGTTTAATCCTGGAATGGTTAAGGTGGGAAAAATTGAGTCCAGCCCAATTTTTTCCCACAATTTTTCTCCTGATTTGGGGGTGTTTAGGTTATTTTTTTTGTTTAATCCTGGAATGGTTAAGGTGGGAAAAATTGAGTCCAGCCCAATTTTTTCCCACAATTTTTCTCCTGATTTGGGGATGTTGAGGTCATTTATTTTGGTGTAATTCTGGAATGTTTAAGGTGGGAAAGATTGAGTCCAGCCCAAATTTTTCCCACAATTTTTCTCCTGATTTGGGGATGTCAAGGTTATTTATTTTGGTGTAATTTTGGGATGTTGAAGTTGGAAACCCTCAGGACAGGAGTCCCACCCCAATGTGTGGTTTTGCAGGTCTGCCTGTCYGCAGTGGGGCTGGTGGGGGATCTGTGCCGGGCCCTGCAGTCCAACATCCTCCCCTTCTGTGACGAGGTGATGCAGCTGCTCCTGGAGAACCTGGGGGTGAGTGCCTGCCCTGCCCGGCCCTGCTGGCGAGAAGCACCAAAAAAACAAAAAAAAACATCCAAAAAGTGTCAGGAGTTTGCTGGGAACATCTCGTGTGTGACAGCTCCTCGCTGTTCAAACAGCAGCCAGAATTTATTGGGGGCAAAAGGGAATTTGGCATTTGGAGTAAACGTTCTGTTCATTGACTTCAATCCTTTCCCAAACCAAACTGGGGTTTTTATTTCCTCATTTATCAACTTCCTTACCCAAAATGTGCTGGGGTTTTTATTTCCTCATTTATTGACTTCCTTACCCAAAATGAGCTGAGGTTTCTTTTTCCTCATTTATCAACTTCCCAAAATGAGCTGGAGTTTCTTTTTCCTCATTTATTGACTTCCTTACCCAAAATGAGCTGGGGTTTCTATTTCCTCATTTATTGGCTTTCCTCATCCCTTCCCCAACCCAAGCTGGGGTTTCTCTCTCCTTGTTCCTTCCCAACAATTCCTGGGGTTTCTTTTCCCATTCCCAACCATCCCTGGTGTTTTTCTCTCTTTGTTTCTTCCCAACCATTCTTGAGGTTTCTTTTTTCCTTTCCCAACCATCCCTGAGAGTTCTCCTCGTCCCTTCCCAACGATTCCTGRGGTTTCTTTTCCCATTCCCACCCMTCCCCAGGGTTTCTCTCTCCTCATCCCTTTCCCAACGAGGTTTCTCCCCATCCTTCCCCAACCATCATCGGCGTTTCTTTTTCTTTCCCAACCATCCCTGGGGTTTCTCTCTCCTCATCCCATTCCCAACCATTCCCTGTGTTTCTCTCTCTCCATTCCCAACCCATCCCCGGAGTTTCTCTCTCGGTTCCATTCCCAACCATTCCCAGGGTTTCTCTCTCCATTCCCACCCCTTCCCGGTGTTTCTCTCTCCTCATCCCTTCCCAGGGTTTCTTTGCCCTTTTCCAACCCATCCCTGGTGTTTCTCTCTCCTCATCCCATTCCCAACCATTCCCTGTGTTTCTCTCTCCTTTCCCAACCCATCCCCGGAGTTTCTCTCTCGGTTCCATTCCCAGGGTTTCTTTTCCCATTCCCAACCCCTTCCCAGTGTTTCTCTCTCCTCATCCCTTCCCAGGGTTTCTTTGCCCTTTTCCAACCCATCCCTGGTGTTTCTCTCTCCTCATCCCATTCCCACCCATCCCCGGAGTTTCTCTCTCGGTTCCATTCCCAACCATTCCTGGGGTTTCTTTTCCCATTCCCAACCCATCCCCGGAGTTTCTCTCTCGGTTCCATTCCCAACCATTCCTGGGTTTTTTTTTCCCATTCCCACCCCTCCCCGGTGTTTCTCTCTCCATTCCCAACCCATCCCTGGTGTTTCTCTCTCCTCATCCCATTCCCAACCATTCCTGGGGTTTTTTTTCCCATTCCCAACCCCTCCCCGGTGTTTCTCTCTCCATTCCCAACCCCTCCCCGGTGTTTCTCTCTCCTCATCCCATTCCCACCCATCCCTGGTGTTTCTCTCTCCTCATCCCATTCCCAACCCCTCCCCGGTGTTTCTCTCTCCTCATCCCATTCCCAACCCCTTCCCGGTGTTTCTCTCTCCATTCNCGGTGTTTCTCTCTCGGTTCCATTCCCAACCATTCCTGGGGTTTCTTTTCCCATTCCCACCCCTTCCTGGTGTTTCTCTCTCCTCATCCCATTCCCAACCCATCCCTGGTGTTTCTCTCTCCATTCCCACCCCTTCCCGGTGTTTCTCTCTCCTCATCCCTTCCCAGGGTTTCTTTGCCCTTTCCCACCCATCCCTGGTGTTTCTCTCTCGGTTCCATTCCCAACCATTCCTGGGGTTTCTTTTCCCATTCCCAACCCCTTCCTGGTGTTCCTCTCTCCTCATCCCATTCCCACCCATCCCTGGTGTTTCTTTCTCCTCATCCCATTTCCAACCATCCTTGGGGTTTCTTTTCCCATTCCCAACCCCTCCCCGGTGTTTCTCTCTCCATTCCCAACCCCTCCCCGGTGTTTCTCTCTCCTCACCCCTCCATTTTCCCCAGAACGAGAACGTTCACCGCTCGGTGAAGCCGCAGATCCTGTCGGTGTTTGGGGACATCGCTCTGGCCATCGGTGGCGAGTTCAAGAAGTACCTGGACGTGGTGCTCAACACGCTGCAGCAGGCRTCCCAGGCACAGGTGGACAAGGTCAGCTGCTTTTTCTCACTTTTTTTTTTTTTTTTCCTCCTGATTTGGGGTATTAAGGTCACTTTTTTGTGGTGTAGTCCTGGAATTGTTGAGGGTGGAAAAGCCTCAAAGGCAGAGTTCAGCCCAGGGAGGGCTCCTGATCCCGAGGGGCTGTTTTGGGGTCTCATCCCTGATCCCATGGAGCCATTCTCAGGATGTCATCCCTGATCCTGAGGGGCTGTCCTGGGATCTCATCCCTGATCCCATGGGGCCAATGCTGGGGTCCCATCCCTGATCCCAAGGAGCTGTTCCTGGGGTCTCATCCCTGATCCCAAGGGGCCAATCCTGGGATCTCATCCCATTCCTGTCCCCATTCCCGGGGTCCCATCCCTGTTCCCATTCCTGGGGTGTCACCCTTTCCCCATTCCCAGGGTTTCACCCTGTCCCCATCCCTGTCCCTGTCCCCATTCCCCATGGTCTCACCCCATTCCCGTTCCTGCTCTCAGCCCATCCCTGTCCCCATTCCCCATGGTTTCACCCCATCCCTGTCCCTGTCCCCATTCTTGGCTCTCACCCTGTCCCTGTCCCCATTCCCCATGGTTTCACCCCATTCCCATTCCTGTCTCTCACCCCATCCCTATCCCTGCTCCCATTCCTGCTCTCACCCCATCCCATCCCATTCCCCATGGTTTCACCCCATCCCTGTCCCTGTCCCCATTCCCCATGGTCTCACCCCATTCCCATTCCTGCTCTCACCCAT